ATATATATATATATATATATATATATATATATATATATAATTAACAGGAAGACTCCACTCCTCCCTCCCCCCAGTCAAATAAGATGTTGATGCATGTTGTTATATAGTGCGTTTAAAATGGGGGGGATGAGGCGGCGATCGGTGCAGACTCACCCCCTCCCCGGGAGCAGACAGTGCCCGTTCACCTCCCCAACCTTTGTCCAGAACCCTAAAAGTCTACATGCTACATATGAGAGTGGGCACAAGTCCCGGAGGTGAGAATGATTACACGTCCCACCTCCTATATGCCACCGTGTGCCCACTCCAGACCCTATATATGCATGTGTCGTGAGAATGTTATATGTGAGTGTCTAGGTTGTTTAATAAAATTGGGGCCCAGGTCTCCACGAACCACGGAGATGGAGGATCCTCCCTGCAGCTCAGTAGTGCACCTGAACCCCAAGGCCCTGTTTGAGTGGAGTCAAATTTCTAAACATTTAAACTGTTCTGATTCAAGGAAAACCTACTTTGTCCTGCGTTGCACCAATAAACAAAAGTCAGCACAAAATGAATGCGTAACATTCTACACAGTTAAATATTCTTCTTTATCAATCTGAACTTCATGTTTATGTGACGAGCGAGGAACGTGGTTAGAGGTGAATCACAGTTTGGGTGGGAAGGTTGAACTTTTTTGGAAAATCTGTCAAAACAGGAAGCAGATTTCACAACAGCCAATGAGGGAAGCAGTTTTCTGGATGGCACATTCTTGGACACAACAACCTCCACTTGACTTCCCAAGATAAAACCCACAACAATGTGCACAAAACTGCATCCACTGCAAGGACTCCTTTTATTGGAGCAGCTCTGGATCAGTAACAGAAATTACATCTGAAAACATGAATGAGGCTCAAACAGCAAAAATTACATTTATTACAAAAGTGGTAAACAAATTAGGATGGGAGGTTAAAATTAACACTTTTGGGGAAAAGCAAAATAATTTTTTCCTAATAATTCCTCAGCCTAATTAAATCTGCACAAAATGACAACACATGCCTCAGATTCCATGAGAAGCCATCAGACTAAAGCCTCAAGCAAACAAAAGGGATTGAATTGGCAAACGGAGACCAAGTTCATCACTATGACAACTGTTGATTAGGCCTTTCCAGTATGCTGAGCTCAAACAACAGTGGGTACACACACACACACACACACACATCATAACAAATGAAAGAGGGGGAGCATGGAAAGAGGAAGTTGCACCACATGAAGACGAGGAATATTTGACTGCGTTTGGAAACATGTTGAAATATTTCAAAACTGTCGACTTGTGCTTCCGAGATAAGAACGACTGGGATGAA